GTGCATGAGACTCATGGTGAATAATTTGACGGGAGACTAAGTATTTGTTTGAGGAGTTATACAATTCTGCATTTTGAACATTGTGTTTTAGAGAGTATGTGAGAGTTTATTTCTCCCCATAGCATTTGGGTGTTTGGTATAACTTTAGTAAGTTGCATTGGATGTGTGTTCTATTGGGAGCTTTGTAAAGGATTTCTATGCACAATGAGTCCTTTGAATTGATTTAAGAACCATAGTGGTTTGGGTTCTATATTAAGAAGCTGGTGTCCCAAATGATGTTGTAACATCATGATTGTTGATGGTTGTGTTTTTTTGCTTGGGATTGTGCATGTGAAGTTGGATGCTCAAGCATTATTGTCAGAAATGGCATTTCTAACTTTGTGGATTGGAATATGGAGATTCGGGTCCTATCAACAGTAGTATGCCTAGTGAATACATGACTATTTTGTTGAAGACCCCACTAGTATCAACAGCTACTAGTGGATGTAAGGGCAAAAGACTGCTGATAGATACTAAGGTCAGAGCAAAGTGTTTTTAGGTGGTGTTTTTTTCTTCTGCAGAAAGTCGCTCCAGATGAGTGTTGATAATATGGATCTTAGTAAAGCTTTTAAGCAAACTAAGAAATTTTAGAAATTGTGAGTGATTTCACACATAGTATTCATGACATCTTGCCTATTCAAAATGTCATGATACAAAGCGTGGTTATGAAAAGACAATGATCAAATGTATCCTTGTGTTATGAAGGAGTCAGAGTTCTTGGATGTATTCTCAAGGAGTGAGAGTATCTGACTCTGGTTTGACTATAATAAGGGAGTCAGGGTTCAACATGTGTGTAGAAGTGTTGGTCTTCACCATGAAAGCATGAAGTCTTTCATGAATCATCACTGGGTTCTCAAGTTTTCATCTTCGTCTAGAGCATTGTTTATTCATGACAGGGGAGTCATGTATTTGTCTGTGGATTGTTGTTGCAATGGTATATATGTATTATTTATGTGTTGTTCAAACTTTTTAAGAGGGTGTGATGTCAGACAATATGTTATGACATTATGAAGTTATTGTTGATCTTGACAAGGCATGATTGGTTTTAGCCATGTGAAGCTGAGTGTTTAAATCAGGAATTCACATATCTCTCTAGTGCTTAAATGGTTATGTTTGAGAGAATTTATTTTTCTCTACAGATTTTGGGAAGGACTCTCTGAGGGTCTTTATTATTGAGAGATGTCACAAATGTGATATTCTGATGTCTTGGTATGTGTCACTAAGTATAAGTTAAAGGAGAACACTTAGAACCCAGTGGAAGATAATATGGTTGAAGATGTGTTGGTCAATGTGCAAGCAAGGAAGACAATGTCTGACTGGATGTCAGGATATTACTCAGGGCATGGGTCTTGTATAATCAACAAGGCAGTTTTGATGGACAATTTGATCAAACACGTGTCAGAAAATGTGTTTGACTATGTATGTGCATGTTTTGGGACTAGTTCTTTTCATCAGAAAAAGTCTAGAGCTATTAAAGTCATTCAAAGTTGTCTTGGACTATGCACATTAATTTTAGCTTTTTTTCTTTCTTCAAATAACGTTTCCTTTGACCAAGATTATTGCTACATTCAAGGATAGTTATTTCCCAAGTAAATGACTAGTTATTTATAGAGGGTTCTCCTTTTATCTTTCACCCTGTGAGTATTTGATGTATCCATAATTCTTAGGACTTTTATTCAGGTTCAAGTGAGCTGTGCTTCGGTCTGGTTTTGTAAAGGTCTTTTTTTTGTCAATTTTTGACCAAAAAGGGGGAGAAAAGGTTTGCTCAGATGGACAATATGGAGTATGTTCTTACAAGTATTTTTCAAATATGTTGGATAAAAGTTCTATCATGTGTCTTGTGCATTGATTTGTGACTTGTGATATGAGTTATGAACACAATTGCGATCTGTGTTATGAGTTACCTAGGGTGGTGGTTGGATACTTGTTTAGTTTCCTCTTATGCCACAAATTGATTAGTGGTTGCTTCATGGTCCTCTTTTTCCACCAGTTGAAAGGAATATCTATTCATCTGTAACAATAATAGGTTCCTGGGTTTAGGGGGAGTATAGACTATCATCTTCCTCGTCTGGATCGTGTGCATGAAATGCCTTCAGTACTTTCCTTCCTTTTATCCTGAGGTTGTTGTTCTTTGATGCTGAAGTTTGTACTGCAATGAAACTCATTCAAAATGCTAGAAAGAAGATGTAGAACAAGATGTCTCAACATCTTATTTGAAGACTGACTCCATGGTGATGTACTGCTGAGTTCAATAGTTGCTGAAGACTATTATTGAAGAATTGTTTTTCTTATTGCTGTAATATTGGATTGTATTTTTATTTATTTGTTTTAGCCAAAATTTGCCAAAGGGAAAGGTCGTAAGTTCTCTTGTTTTAGGATTGACATCAATTTTTATAAAACAAATAAGACAACAATATGTTAGATAGGAGATGTTAACTTGTTAACAGGAACATGTTGAGCAAGAAGTCCTATCTTATGTTGAGACATATTGAGATAAGAAGTTCTCATCATCTAGAATAACATGTCGTATAAGATGTCCTATGAAGAAGCATACAACATCACATTTGAGCTGAAGTGGACAATTAGATTCTGTTATGATTGAACTGATGCAGAATATTCTGGGAATATTATGCAATCCTATGTGGCGCTGAGTTAAAGGCCAAGAAGAATCAAGTCAGAATATTAAAGATTATGCAGTTTCTAAATATGGAGATATTTTAGGAAACTAATGATTGAAGACTTTGTTTATAGCAGAAGTTTCTGTTGGTTTGTAACAACTGATATATTGTGATTAGAAGCCTAAGTCAAGTTGGGAATAAGTTATAAATATAAGGGTTGGTAGCCTAGTTTGGTACGTGTTCAAGATGTAGAAGTCTAGGGCTTTGTCATTGTCGCCACTCTCTAGGAGAGTTGGTGTAAGTGAACCACTCGGGTTGTGAGATGGTCACTATGTTCTCACTCAGAAACCTGTAGGTAATGAGTTGAGTATTGTTCTTGGAGGAAGCTTTTAAACAACTCCAAGTTGTTGTTCTTAATTAGGAGAAAAGTTGTAAACATGGGAGTTTAACTTAGAGTCTTAGCTAGGTATTATCATGGAAGCGTGTCTTCCTGTTTATTCAGAATTGTTATTGTCCAATTGTCGTCTGTGATTGATGAGAGATTGAGGAGGGCCTCATATCTAGGTGAGTCTTAGATAGAAGTCTAGCAAGGATTATGATTAAGTGATTAGGCCGTAAATTGGAGGTTTGCTGAGGGTCTATGAATTAATACTATTTTAGTGGACTTATCCCTGGCTTGGTATGCCCCCAGAGTAGGAGAGTTTCTCCGAATTGGGTTAACAACTTCAGTGTGTTGTTTATTGCTTTTTAGTACTGTTTTCAATGTCTATACATTGTCTGTGTTGTTATGTTCAGATCAGATGTCTCGACATCCTATAAGACATTTGAGTTCTGTTATATCAGAATTTTAAGTACCCTGAAGTTGTTGTACCATTTGACTTAAAATCAGATTCAATACATTTGTTGTCAGGGTTTACTGGACTTACATGTGAATATACTCATAAGCATTTGAAAAAATTCCACGCTGTGTGCTCTACGCCATTGAGGCCTCAAGGAATCATAAAGGACTATATCAAGCTGAGAGCCTTCCCATTCTCACTTCAGGGAGTTGCGGAGGATTGGTTTTACTACCTTCAACCATACATCGTTACAAGCTGAAACGATTCAAAAAAGTTGTTCCTAGAGAAGTACTTTCCTGCCTCAATAGTTGTATCAATAAGAAAGGAAATATGTGGTATTAGACATATTCTCCAATTTTAGCCACAAACTGATTATATTATTCAAAATTTGGAGATACAAATTGGTCAACTTTCCACTTTGATAAATACCACGCAGGCTCAAGGATCGAACCAACACCTGCCCAATCAGTAATGAGTCTAAAAGGCCCTAAAGTGAGTGCAATTTCTTTAAGACCAAGAAAACTGTTGAAGTGGTTGAACCAACCCCATAAAAAAGTAAAAAAAGTTGTTGAGCTCATGTCTGATTATGAAATTATTGTTGATACTGAAAAAGAGTATGTGTCACCAATCTCTTTCCCACAAAGAGCAATGAAGACTAAATTAATGGATGAGGCAAATATGGATAAGGAATTATTGGACATATTCGTGAAAGTGGCGATGAACATTCCACTTCTTGATGCCATTAAGCAGGTTGCCAAATATGAAAAATTTCTGAATTACATCTTTGCACCATTTCTCATTTTCTCACTAATTTGAACGTTTGAGTGCTAATCTTTCAGGTACATCATCGTACCTCTGTACCGGAAACACAGTGCACCACATTAGAAGTCCAAACACTCCGATTCATCGCACATTTTTGGTTCTCTTGCATAACAGAAGACAATCAGATTAAATTCTTTATTTTTCTTATATCTTTTGTAATTCTTATCAATTTATAGATCAATTTAAAAAAACCATCCTTTAATTTTTTTAGATTAATCTATAGTTTTTTTTACAATTTTTAATTTTTTAAAATCAATTTACAATTTTGGTTTGGATTTGAAAAAGTGTCTATATTCACCAATTATCAACCAATCCTTATCTATGTTTTTTTACAAGTTAACTTTATACTTTTAATAATACTAATTACAATTTTCTTTACCATAATACTTCTAATAACAATTACAATTAATAATAGGGGTTAGTAAGTAGTAATTCTTATGATTTAGAAAACCGATCAAGAAGAGAAGAAGAAAACGGAAGCGAAGGAAAATTAACGGCGGTTGACGGAACCCAACCTGACCCCGCGAGCGTTACAGTTACAATCGAGTTATTTATCTAACCAACCCTCCCTCTAGCTAAACCTCTAAGACGGTTTTATTCACCTCTCTCTCTCTCTCTCTCTCTGCCAAACACATGGTCGCGTAACCGCTCTCTTAGGCCATTGAAGCACTGCTTTCATAACATGGCCTCCATCACCTCCGTCGAACTCAATTTCCTCATTTTTCGTTACCTCAATGAATCAGGTTTCGTAATCCCTTCCTTTGCTTTATCTCCTTTCATTTTGTAACATGCTAGGGTTTTGGAAGATTCAATGAATTTCGAGTTTTTGTTTTATTGTTGACGTTTTGGGTTTGAGTGATTAAAGGTTGATATTGTTTGATTGAGGTTTAACTGATGTCGAGAAATGGAATATGTTTAACCTGTAATTGAAAAATGCTTCTTCATGTTTTTTATTTTTTGGTTCAAGATCATGGAATTTTTTTAGATCCGTTGTTTCAAATTATATTAGGTGTTGAGACATGATTTTTGACTGTGTGAATTGTGTTGATAACTGAGTGAGACGTGTAGAACGATTATGCGTGAAGCGGATGAAAATGATGTGCATGAGGAGCTGGATTATTTGCAGTTGATCCTTAATTATTATGTTTTTTTCTTCTTCTGTAATTGATTATGTGTTATGATTATGTTTATGTAAGTTGGGATTTGTATTTGGAAATGGGTAGTAGAAATATCAATTGAAAGGGAGCTGGATTTAGTCCTTTTAGCTATGGAAATGAGTTGCGATTTTGGAAAGATTTTATCTTACTGTGATGAATAAGTGTTTGATTATTCTTCTTTAGACTATATGTACTTGTTGAGAATCATATTGCATGCCATGTGATGTTTGTTATATATAATATTTGTCACGTGCCTTTGCGTAGTAATAGTTTTAGATTATACGGGCGCGTTTGATTTTGCTTAAAATTAATACCTGAGATTCTGAATCATTTTTTATACGAAAGGTCATTATTGATAAATAGCTTCAGATTTTACGGGCGTGTTTGATTTTGCTTAAAGTTAATACCTGAGGTTCTGAATTGGTTTTTTATACGAAAAGTCATTATTGGTAAATAGCTTCAGATTTTAAATGCATGTTTGATTTTGCTTAAAATTAATACCTTAGATTCTGAATCGGTTTTTTATACAAAAGGTAATTATTGATAAATTCATTCATTGAGTACCCTTTCCAACTCAGTCTTATCAAATATCTGCCATAGCATATAGTGGTGATTTTTGGGCACACCACTATTGTGGGTTTTTCCACCATAGCATATAGTGGCGGTTTTTAGGCACGCCGCTATTGTGGATTTTCCACCATAATCCGCTATGAGAAACCACCAAACGGCTGTTATGGCGGGATTTTGGCTTTCTGCCATGTGCCGCTGTCTGCCATAGACAACACTAAACTGAACCCATCCTCCTCTGCCTCTTCTTTCATCTCTCCCCTTAACCTTTTTGGGTTTTGTTTTTGCATCAAATGCATTCTTAAGAGTTAGTCTTTACTCACTTTAACATGTTATTAGAGCCTCATTGACCAAATGGTTAGGGGTTTGATCACTGCGATCGGCATATTTCGATATAAAAGTTGAGTGCGGCATATAGAAAAAATGAGCCTTTGCTTTCTCATACTTCATGCCTAATGTATTCTTGCCTGACAAAGCATTTCAAAAATATAATTAAGCCTTCAAGAATATTTAACTTAAGCTTTTAAGAAGTTAGTTCTTCATATAAAGATTGAAGTCTATGGCTAAGTGTAATAGAGTTTAATCCTTGCCTACCCCATTGTTTTGAATTTCTATACCAGGTTAAGTGGGTCAATTATTTGTACATGCTTCAAGTCCTAATTGCTCTTACATGAAAGGGTGGTTAAATGTAAAATCATTCACGCGCTTATCTTAAAAATAAAATTATGGCTTTTAGAAGAGTTTAGACCTTGAATGTATCTTTTAGAAGAATGTTGTTTATGTAATCTGTATGTTCTTACAATGCAAATGCTGGTCTCAATTTCACGTTATTAAAACTTAAAAGTCTAGTGATTTTATAAGATAACATCGAAGGTGGGCTTTTCCAAAAAAACAAAACAATGAAGAATATTGCGTTGGTGCTGTTGTCTTGGGGAATAATATAAACTAGGGTATCCATGAGAACATGGAAAACTTTTTTGAGTTTAGTTATATCCTTTATTCGATGCTTTTCATATTTATTAAATGGCATTATATGTTGCAACTTTATTGATTTACTACTGGATACTTATGTTACATCACTACTTCAGGTTTCACGCATTCTGCTTATACTTTTGGTAATGAAGCTGCCATTAACAAATGTCCCATTGATGGAAATTTGGTACCACCAGGTGCTCTTGTTACATTTGTTCAAAAGGGACTGCAGTACTTTGAGATGGAAGCCAACTTGAGTAATGTTAGCATCCTCTGTTTTTGCATTCTTGATTTTTATCTACATAATATTCATCCATTTGATTTGAGTATATATCTTTTTAAGGTTTCACACCCTAGGTTTCATGTTGATCAGTGTTTCTTTTAAGCTTGCCAGTGTGATGCAGAACTGGATGAAGATTTTTCATTCTTACAACCTTTGGATCTTATCACAAAAAATGTGCACGAACTTGGGCAAATGATTAGTGAAAGAAGGAAAAAACTACTGAAGGAGAGAAATAAGGAATTAGAAAAGGAGCACGAGGCTGAACGTGGAAGGGCAAGAGAAAAAGAAAGACATCAAAGGGAGAAAGAAGTTGAAAAGGATAGGGAAAGGGTAAAAGTTGCTAAAGAGAGAGAACAGCATGTTAATAAGACTGACAGAGAAGTGGTCAGAGATCAAGAAAAGGTTACTGCAAAGCACGAAGTGAATGGAGCAGTTGGAGGTAATTTGCTATTCAATGGAAATTGCTTACCTTATTTATATAATATATGTTTGTTGTTGTCTGTTTGGTGTTTAGCTGCATGTTCTGATCAATGCGTTAAATTTCAATATCTTGTAACTATGTTTTTCTGTTATCCTTCATTTTCTGTTCATCTTAACCGTATTACTTGTTTCTATGAGTGCTTTACCGTCTAAACTTTATGCTAAGTTTTCTTCATTATTGTGGTTGGATTAGAAAGCTGGAACGGCTTAATGTCTAATAACTTGAAAGCTGATCCCTTTAAATTGTATTTTGCTATCAAATCTGATTTTTTTAATACATATTTTTTTCTTATTTTGGAGTGTAGCAATGAAATCATTTATTGTAGTTGTTGCAAGTGTAACATCACTGTACCCCTCTCCCCGAAATGCTGTTAGTGAGTATTCATTGTATGAGGTGGTGTTGACAATTAAAACTAGCGGTCTGCTTCACACTTTCTATAAATATTTTCCTTAAAAAATGGATGATTTTTTCATTTTTTCGGTAGGATCAGAATCAACGGACATCTGTACGGCATCAACATCTCAGCCACGTCAAATTCCCAGTTCAGATGTGACAATCTTGGAAGGGCATACTTCAGAGGTGATGCTCCTTACTCTGTACACTTTAAGTTTTCTTTCATCTATTGTTTATGCTGCAAAGCTCTGACAGTTGTCTTGTTCACCATCCATTTAGGTGTGTGCTTGTGCATGGTGTCCTTCAGGATCTCTTCTTGCATCGGGGTGGGTATTTCCTTGAATTGTTTGCTTAAAATTATATATTGACAATGGACATGGCAATGTGATAATAAGTACCAGTACCCGAGTCCCTATCAATATGTCTGTAACTTCAATGGTTGATGTGCATAGTATTATTTTCCTTCTTGGATTTCCAATTTATTTCGGCTTCCAATTTTGATTGACTTTCATCTTAATGGAGGGACACTGACTGCATTCATTTTTTCCCTTCAAAATAATTAAACCCGTTTGGAATAATTGTTTTTCATATTTAGTTTCTGAAACTGCAGCTCTATTGTGTTTTTGTAACAGAAAATAAAATCAACCGTGTTATTTTTACAAAAAGCCTGTTTTTCTGGAAATAACCGCTTTCAATGTGCACTATGTTAATTATAATTTAATATAGCAATTTCATAGATACTGGCTTCTGCTAAATCCTTTCATTTCATAGTGGGTTTTAGAACCTTTCAAATGATTTAATGGAATCCAGTTACTCACATTTTGTTAGGCATAATACTATTACCAATGATACTTCTAATAATAATTCTACAAAAAGTAAAAATGTAATAGCTTCTTCTCCTGGAGTTGAAGCATGTTTGACAGTGACATAACAAACTTGTAGAAGACCAAAGGCCTCAAATTTTACTATAAATAAAAATCTGAAAGATGCTTGTTTCTGTCAATGAGCTTGATAATTTATCTGTCATTAGGAATTTCGACTTTACTTTTCCTTGTTATCTTATTTTATATCTAATGTAGATACTTTACTGTTGCTTAACATCATGCAATGACTTACATTTTATATCATGCTATTTCATTATTTACTTTTTGCTCTGAAGCTTTTTTAAATAACGCATTTATGATACCCCTTTATTTTTGTGATTTTGAGATTGAGATTCTGATATATGGCTTCTTATAGTAATCTTGTGCTTAACTATATCATCATTTCAACATTAAGGTCTGGAGATTCGACAGCTCGTATATGGGCAATACCAGAAGGAAGATGTAAGCCTGTTTCACAGAGTGTCCCTTTGGATGCGTTGGTGTTGAAGCATGTTAGGGGTAAAACAAGTGAAAAGACTAATGACGTCACTACAATTGATTGGAACGTGAGTTCAAATGCATATTCTGATTTATTTCAAGACAATTACTTAAATTTTTATGTTCGAATGAAAATCTGGTAATTCACTATTACAAAAATCATATGAAGTTGCAACTTGCAACACCCCACACTCACTTTTCCTACACCCATTTACTAGGAAGTGGATATACTATAAGCTTCTGTACCAAACTTGTTTTTTCATATAATAATACTTGGGACAAATCCCACTCCCCTTCCTTGAGATAAACTTAAATTGCACTTCCCTCATCTCTTATTTTAGAACCTACAGCCCTCTCCCGAGGTAGAAGTATAAGTTTGTACTGCATTTTACACTATTTTACATAAACTTTTTAAAGTAGGCGAATGATTATAAACGAGCATTCCGGTAGAATATTTTTTCTCTTGAGTTTTATTGTCACTTGTAACTAATTTGAATCTTCATTATTGATTTTAGTACTTCAAAATACTACTATACCAGTCATTTTTATTAACTTAATACCTTGAAAAGGTTTTTTGGATGACTTAAAGTCTTGCCAATTTAGCCTAATAGGCTTTTAAAAGTCCTGATCATATATTTAATAAAGTCTTGCCAATTTAGCCTAATAGGCTTTTAAAAGTCCTGATCATATATTTAATAAATTAGTTTGGCTGGACCTAGACTTGATGTAGAATAGTTTATACAACATGATCTATTTCCATCACTAGTAGGGACCTCTCTCATCTATCCAACAGTTAATAAGTATTCCATCTTTTTTAAAATTTAGATAATCACCATATTTCACCATTATATATAATATTTGATTAGGAATAAGTTAGAGGTATGAGGCGTGTTGAATTTCTGAGAATTCATAACCAAAGGGAGGAGGACCATAACCACTAGCATTTTGGACCACAGTTGAGAGTTCAATGTGAGAATTGAATGCAGGAGTCTGTAATTTGCAGGAAATCCCTGATAAATGGAAGGAACTGTGGCCTGGAAATTTTGATTAAAATGGTGCCACCAAGATGGGGCCAGATGACCAAATTTAAAGCAGACTTGGCATTGAATGTGCGAGAAATGACCTTCCCGGCCACCTCTTCCATTTCTTCTTCTACGGCCACAATTAGAGCCAAACTGAGATGTATCAGGACCAGTGGAAGGTAGTGCAGATGACTGACATGCAGGTTGATCACTATTAGGTTGCAGAGACGAGGAAGGAGATGCATGGGTAAGATTGAGAGACGCAAACTGATAAGCCTAGGCCACCCATCACCAAGTTTTACACCCGCAGGCAGCGACTCCCAAGGAGTGCAGGATCAGGAGATGCGAATCAGGGGGCGTGACCCTTGTTGAACAGACACACCCACCCGAAAGGATGCGACCCTTGGAACCAAACAGCATCAAATCTAACAATTATAACCCTTCAAATTAATTGTGCCAATTAGGAACAAATGTAAATGTAGTATAAATAGAAGCAAATCAGAATTAGGAAGACATTCAGAAAATTAGGAAGAATTTGAATTGTGGAGAGACAGGTTCTCGAAAACCTGTGTTGTAATAATCCAATATTATCTACATAAATTTCAGTATTCATCTTTTCATTTCTGTTCCAATTTTTTTGGCTCTTGGTATCAGGGCACCGTCCAGGTGCTTTGCTTCCAACAATGGTGACAACTCGATCTAATCCCGAAAACCCAGACACAATGGAGAGAATTTTAGAAATGTTGATGGCGGACCGACAAAACCGAGAGGTAGAACGACAACAATTCGAAACACGCTTTGCAGGTCTAGAAGCCATGGTGGAAAATTTGTCCAAGCATTCAGAAGATGGCACACCCAAAGGTTCCATCAATGGAGAACGTTCAACCAAGGGCCACACCGGAGAAAGAAAAACAGAACAATGGAGAAAATTGGCAATCCCCATATATGATGGAGAATCCGATGCTTATGGCTGGATAAATAAATTGGAACGCTTCTTTCAAATGAGAGACATCCTAGAAGAAGAGAAAATTCAGGCAGTTATGGTGGCTCTAGAGGGAAAGGCACTATCTTGGTTCCAATGGTGGGAAAATTGCAATTCTGATATTGGATGGGAAGATTTCAAACTTGCCATTCTTGAAAGGTTCCAAACTTCAGCCACTCTCAACCCTTTTGCTGCCCTCCTTGCACTTAAACAAGAAGAAACGGTGGAAGAGTACGTTGAACAATTCGAAAAGTTTGCAGGTATGCTGAAAACTATCGATGTTGCTGCAGTTTTTCTATAGGAAGTTGTAAGATTGCATGGATTTCCGTCTTCCATTGTTTCAGACCGCGATCCTTTGTTTTTAAGTAATTTTTGGAAAGCCCTTTTTAAAGCAGCAGGTACACAACTAAAATTCAGTTCGGCATACCATCCTCAAACGGATGGACAAACTGAAGTTGTCAATCGATGCTTGGAGGTTTATTTACGATGCTTAACAGGTACTAAGCCTAAGAAATGGGTCTCTTGTCTTCCCTGGGCAGAATTCTGGTTTAATACCAATTATAATGCTTCAAGCAAAATGTCCCCTTTCAAAGCATTGTATGGACATGATCCACCTCACATTCTTAAGGGATCCACCATTCCTTCCCGCCTTGAAGAAGTCAACAAACTTACAATTGCTCGAGATGAATTATTGGCGGCTCTGAGAGAGAATTTGTTGAAGTCCCAAGATGTCATGCGCACAAATGCGAACAAACGCCACCGAGATATAGCATATGAAATCGGTGATTGGGTGTTCTTAAAGATGCAACCTTACAGGAGAAAATCCTTGGCTAAAAGGATTAATGAAAAACTCTCGCCTCGATTTTATGGTCCTTTCCAGGTGTTAAAAAAAGTGGGTGCTGTTGCTTACAAATTGGATCTTCCATCTCATAGTAAAATTCATCCAGTATTTCATGTCTCTCTCCTCAAGAAGGCCATTGGTGATTCTTTCCAATCTCAACCTTTACCACCTATGCTATCTGAGGATCAGGAATTACAGGTTTATCCAGACTCTGTTTTAGATATTCGTGAATTACAACCTGACAACGTGGAAGTCTTAGTTAAGTGGCAGAATCTGCCTACAAGTGAAAATAGTTGGGAATCTGTGGCTAAATTACAAGAGGTCTTTCCAGATTATCACCTTGAGGACAAGGTGAATCTTTTAGGCGGGGGTATTGATAAGCCTAGGCCACCCATCACCAAGTTTTACACCCGCAGGCAGCGACTCCCAAGGAGTGCAGGATCAGGAGATGCGAATCAGGGGGCGTGACCCTTGGTGAACAGACACACCCACCCGAAAGGATGCGACCCTTGGAACCAAACAGCATCAAATCTAACAATTATAACCCTTCAAATTAATTGTGCCAATTAGAAACAAATGTAAATGTAGTATAAATAGAAGCAAATCAGAATTAGGAAGACATTCAGAAAATTAGGAAGAATTTGAATTGTGGAGAGACAGGCTCTCGAAAACCTGTGTTGTAATAATCCAATATTATCTACATAAATTTCAGTATTCATCTTTTCATTTCTGTTCCAATTTTTTTGGCTCTTATCACAAACAGTTTTCTTTTTAAACTTGTCAAGACGAGTTTCATGAGCAAGTAGGAGAGCCTCAACTTCATCAATATCCATGGTTTCTAACTAACTTACAACAACAGAAATAACTGGATGGAACTCCTGAGGCAAACCTTCTAATATCACATCAGTGTGTTGATTGATAGGTATGTGATCTCTAATTGATATAGGTTTTCAATGAGGAGACGACGAGTACACAGACATTCTTGAACGGTATGATTTTCAAGAGATGTGGATCTTAATTCAAAACACAATTGTCGTTCCTTAGCATGCTTTTGCTTCTTAAATAAGCTAGAAGTTCCTCCCATAGCCCATAAGAATGAGCACAGCCAAGATCAGGAGCGGGGATCTCAATAGAGAGCGTGGACTGAAGCCACATAAGGAGCATTTGATCACCTTGACGCCACTGATTGAACTCAGGGTTTATTTTGCAACATCTGTGGTCTTTAGTATTGAGAAATCTAGGTGGAATTGAAGGAGAAATGAGAAAATCATGGAGGTAGTGAGTGTTCATTGATTTCGATGGAGAATGGTTACATCATTATATAGGAACCTAATCCTGCACACATGTGCAGGTTAGTATGAACTGTTCCTAACTATCTCTAATCCTGTGCAGTGCACAAGTTAGATGTAATTGATTCTAGTATATTCCTGACGGTCCCATAACTGACTCCAATCCTGTGCACAAGTTAGGTATAACAGACCACTGAAATACAGCTGGCAAGATGATTAACAGTTGTTAATGATTCCAACTGACACTATAATAAGACAATTAATTAGCAATAATGAGTTAAGTGATCTCTATCTTCACATATGATCTAAGACGAACATTGCGGCTTTGGTTGACACATGTATTCGTATAGTTGGCCCCACACCTATTAGCAAAAATCTCTAGTTATTGCTATTCCATCACTCTTTGCTTATACTCAACTGTTATAAAAATGGTGTCATGTTTCTTCTTTTCAATCATTTATACATGAGATGGTGAAACCAAATTTTTTCCCCTGTTTCATGTGCAAATCTTTGGAAACATGAAACAAAGTGAAAACCATGTGGTCCAGTTTGTAATTTGAAGTGAAAGCATTAAATGCTAAGTGATATCAGAGAACATGTTTGAAAATTGAAACTAAACAAACTCTTAAAAATCCAAAAACTTGAATTGAAGTTGAAAATATTTTTCTTTAAAATCTCTTTTTTCTCCTATTTTTTAATGGTAAATATTCCCGACTATAAGATTTGAAATTTGAGCTTATTATCTGTAATATTTGCAAATAATGTTTCATACCTGGAATTAATATGATGTTTGTTGTACAGGGGGAGGGGACACTTCTTGCAACTGGTTCATATGATGGGCAAGCAAGAATTTGGACCACTAATGGTGGGTGTTTTTTCGTCCTTGTATTTTATAATAGCATTTGAGGACTTATATGTGATGAGATAAACACAGATATATTGTTCTTAATATTTGGGTATAGTATTTCTTTTGCTATTTTAATGGGTTAACGAAGGATTTTTGGCTATTTTTGATTCCCGAAGAAGGTCAAGTTACCTGAGGAAGTGAACTTAAATTATCATTTACTGTTACAATGAATATTTCTAGAAGGAATATATAATATCGGCTCCTCAAAACATGGCTGGAATGATCATTATCATGAAAAGCTGGTTGGAATGTTGCATACCCAATGAATTAGAGATTTTTCTGGAATGGTCATCAGTTGAAATTTTTTAACAAATAATTAAATGCTGCATGAGCTGAGCATCCCAGCACTAAGCATAGTCCCATTTTGTTTTAGAAAGTCAATTGTGTCCGTTGTTTGTTTATCTAAGGAGGAACTGTTAATCATATATTATGTGGCTTGCTGACGGAATTGTTATTCTCTGTAACTAAAAGGGTAGGAACACTATTATTCTTGTGTTATTTTTATTCAAAAGAATAATTTAATGAATAGAAAACTTTTGGGTAATGATATGATACTCTTTTCAACAGTTCGCATTTTATGATTGCCTGCATATGCACATTTTATGCGTAGGCCTTTCTCTCTGTCTGTGTAGGCCTTTCTCTCTGTCTGTGTAGACTGGGTATATATATTAGGGTCTATAATTTTTAGCAAATATTTTCTGTTTCCAATTTCTTTTGAAGTGACACTGTTTTCACTTTGCTATTGTTTTCAAAGATTTGTATAGGAAAGTGTGTAAAATACTAAATTGTTTAGCTGTTTTTGGATAAATCCTAGAATGGGTATCTTAGGGCCTATTTGGTTTTAGCGAGCATTTTCCATTTTCATATTCTATTGTTTTTTTAAATTACAAAAGTGACCCTTTGTTTTCACTTTGCTTTTGTTTTCAAAGATTTGTATAAGTGTGGAAAATACCATATTGTTTTCATTGTTTTTGTACAGATCTTTGGAAACATAGAGCAAGAATAAAACGAACTGACATTTTTGAAATTAGAAGTTAAAACAGGAAATGAGAACAATTGAGGTTTTCTCAAAGCAAACATGTTAATAGTATCTTGGTGCAGTCATTTTATTTGGAAAACTATTGTTCCTATTATTGTGTTTTCTAGCAGGCTCTTGGTATATATGAGTTTGTCTTTAGGACTTAAACTTTGATCGTTGTTTTCAATTGATCTCATGGTGGTTATCTATGACTAGGTGAACTGAAGAGTACATTAAGCAAACACACGGGACCAATATTCTCTCTCAAGTGGAATAAGCGAGGTGATTATATTGTGACTGGAAGTTGTGATAAAACTACGATTGTTTGGGATGTGAAGGCAGAAGAATGGAAACAACAATTTGAATTTCATACAGGTGAGCATTTTGAATATGTATTTTTGTCAAGAGTAACTATAAAAGAACTTTTGGTGATAGTTTTCTTAACCATATATATGAATGGTTTTTTTATTGGGGTTTGATGACTTGTTTAGGTCCAGCACTTGATGTTGACTGGCGCAGCAATATGTCTTTTGCCTCAAGTTCCACAGACAATATGATATACGTGTGCAAGATTGGTGATACCCACCCAACACACACTTTTGCTGGACACGAGGTTTACACTTGAGACCTTATTTTGCAATAGCACTGCTACTTTCTATTCTTGAAAGGGATTAATCACCTCCATGTTCATAAAAAGTTAATAATGGTTGGCAAGGTTTTCTATATAGAGTAGTGGATAATAACCTTGTGCTGCGAATTTCAAGAACGAGTCTAGAATTCTTGAGATGCCCCACTATATACTTAGTTGGATTTTCTTTTTTGAAAAACAACCAGCACTAAATGAATTTATTAGATTGCGAATTCAGTAGAAGTTTCTTTGATCAAGTTGAGTCCTACTTAATTTGTAGGCTTTGCATGTTGGCTTTTATATCATAGTTTGCTGAAGTTGAAGGTTTAGAGATCTGAACAATTTTTGTCTGTTGTATTCTTAGAAAGCATTAGTTTGAGATATTTCATGAAAATTCAATAATGATTGAACAAGTCTTACATCTGCCAAGGACCTTGCTTCATTTGCAGGGGGAAGTTAACTGTGTTAAATGGGATCCCACAGGCTCATTGCTGGCATCCTGTTCTGATGATGTCACAGCAAAGGTATTACTTAGCTTGTTAGTACCTGATCCTAGGATCTTATATTGTTCATAGTTGCATGTTTATTTTTGTGTTTGGTTAGACTTTTTTGTATTGTACTTTATTTTTCACAATTATTTATTATTATTATTATTATTATTATTATTATTATTATTATTATTATTATTATTATTATTATTGTTATTGTTATTATTATTATTAAGTAATTTCTGAAATTACTGTTTGTTATGTGTGCGTTTGATGTTTTGTGTTTGGGTTGGATGCATTGTTTGCAGATATGGAGTTTAAAGCAGGGAAATTATCTTCATGATTTAAAGGAGCATTCCAAGGTACCCCGAGTTTTGCATTTTTTTGAATGTCCGTTGTTTTGTGTTTGCATATCAATTTAACTACTCATTCTGTGTAGTTTGGTTAACTAAATAAGTTTCTTTGTAGGAGATATATACCATCAGATGGAGCCCTACTGGACCTGGTACAACTAATCCCAACAAAAAATTGGTGCTAGCTAGGTAAGTTAGTTACTGGTTAAATAATGTTCGTAAATTTTGATTTTATGCAAATATTTATTTATACAAAACAACCAACATCCAAAGTCTTTCCCTCTGCATTTATTTATGCTTCTGAAATATAGAAGTGTTGTTTTCTCTATTTCTTTACCCCCTGAATTTTTAATGGATGGGTCATGATGACAATTCTTTTGCTGAAATTGGTAATACTGTGAGTTGCATTGTGTTAACTGAACTGTACAAAATGAATACTACCTTTGGCATGTTACTGATTACTATTGATCGTAATTGTTTGCTCCACGTTTTCTGCTATTTGGCTCTTTGGTTGACTTCCCCTTCATCATGTCAGTACTTTTTAATTAATTATGTAAGCATATATTCTATTGTGATGGAGTTGCTGTGATAATATTACTGGTCTTTAGTTTTTAATGGGATACACTAGGTTACAGTCCCAGTGGAGGTAGTATGTGGGCAAGGCAAAGACATTAAGATTAGTGTTCGTAAAAGGAAAGGTAAGAAAGGAAAAGAAAAAGGAGTGACTGCATGCAAAATCGGCGACTACCAAGATTGGAGAATATTGTGATGCTTAAAAGCACTGTTTCTAGGCGGGCTGCGCTATTTCTTTCCTCCTCTCTTGTTTTCTATCTCCCCTGTCAGTGACTATGTATGCCAATTCTGAGAGGGTCTTTTTCTTTCTTTCTAATTATGTTTTATTAAAAGGTAGCCCATTTATATTTCTGAAATCTTTTATAATTATATGATTCTTGGGCCTTGGAGCACCACATGTCATTTATAACGCATCCTTAGGGATAATGCTTGGGCCCTGGAGCGCCGCGTGTCATTGAGGACCCATCCTTAGGGATGAAAGTGAAAATCAATGCGATGGAGAACTTCTTGCAAGAGCTACCTAGAGGAGGGCAGAAGATATACGTGTTGGTGGCTAATAAATAGAGGAGGAGGCTGCAGGGAAAGGTGTTTGCTTTCAGCAATCAATTTCCAGTATTTTCTGATTCAGTCTTGAGACAATGCTGAAATTCAAACAGATGCCAGTGATGGGATCCATGGAAGGAATACTTGTGCAGGGTGAAATGTCCAAAGATTAGTGTGGTTATAAGAGGGAGGGATAAGAAAAGAACGAGGGAATGACATGAGGGGGTTAAGTTAGTTACTGCTAATGGGGATGGAATACACATGTTAAGGGTGGTACTATGAGGTAGGGTAGTGCGGGCAAGAGTACTGGTTAGATACCAGCATTTTACAATTTTTCAGTTAGGGTAGGGAGTGTAAAATATCCGAGGAGCTTGACTTTTGACACTGCTGGGAAGTGGGAACCTTGTTATATTTCTCAGTAAATAATTCATATCTTCACCGTTTAATATTTTAAATCTCTACCGGTTTTTAACCTTTTGCAAAATATTTCAATGTTGGCAGTTTTATCATTTTGAAGGTGCTTGTATTTTCCCCTCTATATTTTGTTTGGCTACGATGGGAAAAGTCTGTTACATGTTATAAACTATATGCTTGTCTTTTTTTGCAGTGCCTCATTTGATTCAACTGTAAAACTATGGGATGTTGAACTTGGGAAACTCATCCACAGCTTGAACGGTCATAGGTACTGTTTTTATTTGCGTACGTTTGGAGCAGGCTGATCAACATGAAATCTTTAACCTTTAACCTTTACTTTGCTGTTTGACAAATGTTGTAGATCTAAATGCAATGAATTCACTAGTAGAAAAATACACAATGAAAGATGGTCTGCTAGACTCAGTTTTTTGTCTGACATGTTTATTTCGTCTTGCAGGCAACCTGTATACTCTGTTGCATTCAGTCCCAATGGTGAGTATATAGCCAGTGGGTCTCTTGACAAATCCTTACACATATGGTCGTTGAAGGAAGGCAAGATTGTTAGAACATATGCAGGCAGTGGAGGCATTTTTGAGGTCTGTTGGAATAAGGATGGTGACAAGATCGCTGCATGTTTTGCCAATAATATAGTGTCCGTTCTGGATTTTAGAATGTGATTGCGGAAAACACCATGTTCTTCTGGCTGGTTTTTTGTTTTAGAATGTGATTGCGAAAAATACTATGTTCTCCTGGCTGGTACATGGGTTCTTTTTTCCCTTTCTATACTATTATAGGCTAAATTGGTTGAAGTGTATCCTGCTGTATAGATTTTCCATTTTAACTCTTGGCATAACTCATTTTTCTGGGATCCTGTTGTAATTTGTTACTATTAGCGAAAAGTAACTTGTAGGAGAGCATTCTTAAAATGCCAAAATGTATAGATTTAGTTGGATATTATCATGTTTAATTATCACTCAACTCCTGTATTTAGTTGCCCTTTTCTGTATTAGCTTCCGATTTCTTCAATTACAATATGATTGATAGAAAAAGCAATGGAATGGGATGCAAGGTATTTTACTAATCATTCTTTTGAGTTGAAACATAAAATAATTTTTCTCTCGTGGTATTCTAAAAATAGCTCCATAGATTAGTACCGGTCTTATGGTTGCTCTCCCACAACGATTTGAAGAAGCTACAAAATGTAGCTTTTGGTCTAATGTGAATTTTCATCTCGATTTTGAGAAACCACCTTCAAACCAAACACGCAATTAGTTTTAGTGGATGTTTAACATTGAAATGGAGGAACGAAATCCTTTTTGTTTGTCTTTTGACACTGGTCACCATTCAATTCCTTAAATACATAAAAACATGCATTTAAATGCGAGGAAAACAAACTCGGTTTATTGAGACCGGTTTCTGGGTACAAATAGTTAAATGGTCCAGCACCCTCTCTAATCATGCTCTGTTGATTCAGATATTGTTAAACTCGTGAATAGTGCTGCCGACAACTGGAGTGAATTTAATGAGATGAAAATGGCAAACATGTTATGTGCCTTATAATCTGTCTCGAATGCAGAAATTTTCTGAGAATGCTGTGTAGTTTTAAATGCCATTTTATAATATATAATATATGATAGAAATACAGTTCTATAGTTAATATAACGAAGTTAATAACCCTCAATTAACTGGAACGGCAACAATCTGGGTGCTTCTCCCTTGAGAAAAAGCATTTTATGGGTCGAGTTCACCAATAATCCCCACATGAACATGAACCTTTGTCAAAGTGGTGGAACCGGTTCCGGTCCCTCATTACAATTTGACGCCGGGTGATCCTAGATATCATCTTCATCACAGCATGACAATCTACACAAACCCGAAGGTTCTTTACAATCTTAATTGTAGTCCCTGGACTAGTACTAATAAGCCCAAATGCCAATGCAAGTTTCTCACTATGAACTTCCAAGGATAGCTCTTTCTGTTCTTCCTCTATGTCATGTAAAACAACATCTGTCTTTGGAGTATAACCATTGCCCTTAAGCCAACCATTCATCTCCTCCAACATCATGTATATATTTTTGCTCTTAGGATGTCTTAAATTACCAGCAATAAACTCATGTACCCTGTTGTTAACTTCAATTATACTACAACCAGGTTCTTTTTCAACTCCGCTGTCTTTCATCAACGACCTAACCTTAGCTGCACCAACCCAGTTGCCAGAAGCAGCGTATATATTCGAAAGAAGAACATAAGTCCCAGAACTAGCTAAGTCACTGCTCAGAAGAAACTCTGCTATCTCCTCTCCCAATGAAATATTGTTATGGAGTCTACAAGCCCAAAGTAAAGTTCCCCAAAGCACAGGATCAGGATCGATCTTCATACACCTCACAAGATCATAAGCTTCTTGCAAATGCCCGGCTCGACCAAGTAGATTAACCATACACCCAAAATGCTCAACCCTTGGTTCCATCTCATACTCATTCTTCATCAAATTGAAAATCTCCCATCCTTTGGTAACCAAACCAGAATGTCCACAAGCAGTTAAAACTGCAATAAAAGTAACATGACTAGGTTTAACTCCCATATCACACATCTCATGAAACAACTTCAAAGCTTCTTCACTAAACCCATTAACAGCATATCCCATCATCATTGAGTTCAAAGCAACCACATCCTTACCATTGATCTTATCAAAAACCTTTCTCGCATCCTCCAAGCTTCCACATTTACAGTACATATCAACCAAAGCAGTACCCACGCGAACTTCAACCGCAAAAATATCATTTTTCTCGTTCTCAATGTAAGAATGAACCCATCTACCACTCTCCAAAGCACCAAGCTGACCACAAGAAGAAAGAACAGCCAACAAAGTAATCACATCAGGCCTAACTTTTTCAACAAGCATTCTTCTAAAGAGCAACAAACACTCTTTGGGAAACCCATTCTGAGAATACCCATCAATCATCACATTCCAAACAACCACATCCTTATCTTCTCCCATTTCATCAAACAACAACCGAGCCTCATGTAGCTTCCCATGTCTTGCGTAGCACGTAAGCATTGTCGTAAAAGAAACCAAACTCTTCTTAGGCATTTCGTCAAACACTTTCTCTGCGAAAATAATATCACCCCCTCGCGCGTAACCGTCGACAAGACCCGTTGCTACGTAAGTGTCGGAGCTCAAACGGAACTTGATGACGTGGCAGTGGATGGCTTTGGTGGGTCGAAGGGTGGTGCCGTTGAGGAGGGAGGAGAAGGTGAAGGCGTTGGGTTGGATACGGTGGGTAAGCATTTGAGCGTAGTAAGAAAGTGCTTGGTCGTTGAGGTGTGATTGGGTGTGGGCATAGATAATGGAGGTCCATGTGAAGACGTTTGGGTTAGGGGTGCAGTTGAAGAGGGTAACGGAGTAGCGAAGGTGGCCCACGGTAGAGTAACGGCGTTGGAGTTTGAAGTTTAGGATAGTGTGGTTGTCGAGGCCGCGGCGGATGAGAGTTGCGTGGATTTGGAGAAGGTGGTTTTTGGATTTGGATTTGTCGATTAAGAGGGTGAGGGTGTCTACTTGACTCGAGTGTGTTGATGGCGGTGCTGCGGTGGCAGAAGGTGGTGGCGGTACGGTGAAAAGTGGGGTTGTGGCCATCCTGGTCGGGCCGGTTTATTTCATATAATCGTGGTCCACAAAATCAAATCCTCTCTAATTTCTTGTGATCAATGTATAAAGGCTCCCTACACATGTTCAATAATATTTCATTTTTCAATGATAAAATTTATTTTTGATTATGTTCGATTGTAAATTAAAGATGAGGTGGTGAAGTTGTATTTTGTTCTGACAATACTTTCTATGCGATAGAGCAGGGTGCACCTACAAGACTAACATTTAACACTAAAGTCAGTGATAAAAATAAAAAATAATGTGTGAGTCAGAATGGATTTAAATACATAAAATAGAGTGCTTTACCCTTACATACTTAAAATGGTGTGCTTTACTCTTACATACCAAATGCATCTGCAAAGGGCTGTCTGTTTAGGGTGTGAGAACCTTGATGGTTTGTCTTTAGGAAAATGTGTTATTTGCACTTTTTTGACAACGATCTTCATGATTTGCGGCCTAGCCCATTGAATGACATTAGCTACCATTTTTTATCAATATGTTTGTCCGATGTATTGGCATTTGTTTGTGTGATGTATTTAGCATTTGTTATAGTAGTGTATTTGCTTGTTATATAGAGTGTGTTGATGGTGTCTCCCACGACGGAGCTCGTACTCGGAGGAACCAGTGAGTTGTGATTGTATCTTTGTATTGCGCTCCACGTCATAAAGAACCATTCCCCAACAAAGGGTATGATCTCTGTCCCTGCTCCCGAGGCTTGACTCAGATCTAGGTGGATGTCTCTAGGCTCCACCGTCTAATGCTTGTGGATTAGCTGGGTTGAGGGGGGGGGGGGGGGGAATTCACCAACTACGTAGAAATGTGTTTAAGCCATATCAGGTACGTAGAAATACATGTAATTTGTATCAAACACGCAGAAGTGCATGTATTCTTTGTCTTTGCAGAAAAGTGTTTAAGCCGTATCAGATATGCATAAATACGTGTAATTTGTATCAAATATGCAGAAGTGCGTGTATTTTTTATCTTCACAGAAATACGTTTAGACCGTATCAGATACACATAAATGTGTGTAATCTGTATCGGACACGCATAGGTGTGCATATTTTTGTCTTTGCACAATTCTGTTAAAGCTGTATCAAATAAGCAAAAATGTGTGTGATATGTATCAGATATGCAGAGGTGCGTGTATTCTGTGTCTTCACAAAAATGCGTTTAAGTTGTGTCAGATACGTAGAAATGCGTGTAATTGTATCCGACACGCATAAATGTAAGTATTCTTTATTTCCCCCACCTTTGGCGCTCTAAAAAAAGAGAGAGACAAGAAAGCATGCAACAAAAGAAAGAATAGACAAATATTTATAATCACAACGAAGTAAATTTTTTACACTGAGACAATGGAATGACTAGGTAAGTAAACCTTCAACCATAACACCGCTTTAGCTGGTCTCGGGCTTTTACGATTGGATCCCCCTAGGGCCAAGAGTATGGTTCGACGAAGGCGGATTTCCTTGAGATGCTCATTCCCCGAACTTTACGAAATAATTTCCTTGCTACGATAATCGGGGTTGCTTCCCTGCGCGTAGCCAATAAAATCCAATTACCTTGTTGGTCCGACCATAGGGATTTGGTAGTCGGTTACGTTGGGTAGGGAGATGAAGTTTAATGAATGTTACTTATGAGTTATCTCGCACAGACTCTGGCCTCAGTGTGAACTGTTGCTTTTAATGGGTGCCCTGAGGTTGTAGTTTGTGTAGTGTTCTTGTTCTCCGATCGTATTTGCGCCCAGTTATCTCTACTTCTTATATACCATCCTGAAGTCAAAGGGAAGTTGAAGTTTACTATAAGATCAGCACTGGAAACAACTACACTTCTGGTAATAATTGGCCTAAGCGATAAGTAAAGAATGTAGCAGAGCCATCATGCTCTTTCACGACTTACTGGATCAGGTCCGAGGAGACCCTGTACAGTAGTCGAAGATCCTTTGGTACCTATAGGAGGTGCTTCAGTACTGGATCTACGCCAGTTGTTAACTATGATTTTGTCATATCTTTGACGTTTCCATAACAAGTATAATGTTGGCAGCGGGAGATCGAGGGGATGTTAGATTAGAAGATGGACCGTGAATTTTCGGCATGATCTTCAAGGAAATTGCCTTCACTTTAGGGTTATTTAAGTATAGATTTGGATTTGGATATAAGATCCTTTCTTGATTTGGCATGATTTGAGGGAATCATAGATATGGAAATCTCATGAATTATAGTTTGAACAATAACTGTCTGGATTACAAGCAACAAATCTTCTTGTTTGATTCATGATGCTCTTGATTCGGTGACCTGGGGATGTTATGAGCTGGTAAACTGGAGATTGAATATGAAATTATGGAAATTGTAGAAATTAGAAGTCGATTCCCACAGACGATGCTACCGTTCCATTCATGAACCAAAAATGGATGCAATTGATGATTGAGATGTCTTATACAAGTGGTGCTGATCTCCGTTACAAAGGCACAAGGTCAACCTACATGGTTAGAACTCTGATGCCCAAGTTGGTTCAAGATTCAAGATGAGTATTGTGGGAAAATTGAGATCAAAGTGTGTGCGTTACTTTTTGTGTTAACTGAATTTTATATCTTGGGTCAAGTGAAGTGTGAAGGTGTGAAAAACACAAGAAATGAGGGGTTTGAATTGGATTTTAAATAAAAAACTTTTCTAAAAAAGAATCCCCTTTAACTAAAAACAGTTTTCTTCACTCTTGATAATAAAGCTAAAGATTGAAGAAGGAAACAACAAGTTATGTTTATACTAGTTCACTTAAAAATTATCAAGCTAATCTAGTCCGCCCGCCAAGGTGATTTCACCTTATCAAACAAGGCCTTAATCCAGTAATCTCACATATTATTACAATGCATAAGTTAACTGCAAGTGACTTACGTACAACTTCTAAGACACACTAATCTAAGACTTCTCAAGGATTCCGACCAACTGGTTCCTTAAGGCACAATCAAACAACAGTTTGAAAAAGATTTGTTTATAATAGATTTTCTTCTACACAAGCTGATAGTAAACAATATTTCAAGAACAAATAGACTTAAGAAAATAAAGGAATGCTTATGAACATTCTTGTGAGAGAACATGTGAATTAACAACATTTTCCTTTAGTCTTCAAGCATATATATAGCCAATAAAATAATATATATGTTGAAGGGCATTTCTGGAATTTCTAGAAAGATGGCATCTTGATTCTACGTGGGGGACAAGATCGTACGACGCATCTGTCCTTTCATGGTAATGGAGAAAAACGTTTGTTTGTACCATGTACTATTGTACCACATAACTTTATCTTCTTATCTTCTTAACTTCAGAGGCTTCAGATTGAGCACGAGTTAGAAAAAATAAAATAACACTTGGGTCACCAGAACGTCAAGTCTTCAGAGTCTTTAGAACTTCATCTTCAGAGTATTCAGCACTTGGTCTTCAGAACCCTTTGTATTCAGAAACATAAGTCTTCAACATCTGGAATGTTCATCAGAACTTCTGTCTTCAGATCTTCAGAACTTGGTTTCTTTGATCGTGTATCAGAGCCTAAAATTCAGAGCCTTCTGAAGTGGTTTGCTACTGTTCATCAGAACTTGTGTAACGCAGAAGCGGAACTTGGTCTCTTCTAATGACTTGGAAACGCCTTTCATCAGAAACAGAACTTGTTTGTTAAATACTAAAAATAACAAACATTCGAGTACCAAAAATGTTCCTACAAACATACTCGTTATTATCATCAAAACTCAGATATAATTGCAGAACCAAATCTTGTTCTAACAATCTCCCCCTTTTTGATGATGACAAAGCTATGTATTTTGATGACACAAATTTGTACATAATCAGAAAAAGTATAAAAAATAAGAAGGGTAAGAAATACTTATCCTTTATATGAAACTCCCCCTGAATCTAAGACTTGGTAAATATCATATATCCTGATTATGAGTCGTCTGGGTAAAACTCCCCCTGGTTGCAATAAATCAGATATTGAGAGTCTTGATTCTTGATGTCAATCATTGCCAATTGAGATCTTGAACCCTTGGTGTTTCAAAAGATAGATTCTAGATTTCAATTCAGAGCCTGATTATGAACTAAACACTTCTCAGAGTCTGATTCCAAAAGTTAGATAAAACCTTGTTTACCACTTTCAGATCTTGATTCCAATCAGAGTTCATGATTCTTGAAAAAGAAAACAATTCTAACAGAAACAGAAGTTTATCTTGGTTATAATGTAAGCAACTCCCCTTATTTCTGAGAAGTTTTTCAGAGAATTTGATTATTAAAATCAAAATATTACTTCAGTTATTTAATCCCCTTTTTTGTCATAATCAAAAATCCAATGATGTGTGAAAAACATAAAACACAAGAAATAAAAGAAGAAACAATGAAAAGAAAATAAGAAGTGAATAGGTAAATAAAAACGAGACTTCATTTGAGTTCAAAATGAAAACATCAGATAGAAAGAAGAAAAATAAAAGAAACAGACAAAATCCTAAGGTTCAGAGCAAAAGGAAAAAGAAATCCTAAGAGCCTAGGGTCCAGAAGAAGATGGTGTTGGAGCAGATAGCTTTTCCAAAATCAACTAAAGCATGTTCTGAACTGAATCATTAACACCCTTTTGTTGAGTCTTGCTTTCTTTGAAGACTTGTTGCTCTTCTATGATTACGCCAATTGCTTGTTCCAAATGCAGAACTGGAGGATTAGAAGATAAGACAACCATAGCCTATTGCCTTGCCCTTTCTGCTTCTTCAGCCTCCTGAGCCAGTCTGGCTACTTCACGAGTTCTAGCATCTTCCTCAGATTTGAGCCTGGTTTCTTCACCTTCTCTAAGCGCTCTGGCTTCATCCTCTCTTTGCTTTGCAACAAAAAGTTTGAAGAGTCTGATTCTTTCTCTTGCTTCTTCTCTTTCAGTCACCATATGAACTCCAACAACTCTGGATGCTTCAGAAAAGCTTATCAGCCTCTCAAATTCAAAAGACATTCACTTCTGAAAAAGCT